TTGTTGCACTGGTCCTAGTGTAAACAAACATACATTGTGCAGCCTTGACAAGATTGCCAACTCGAAGTCGTAAATCTGAAAGTCAAATAGGAAAGAAAAAAAGACAAGTAAAAAGAAACAATTAAAGAACAACTCAATAGCAATATGGATATTTATTTACGCAATAAAATAATCAACAGAAAACATCTAATTTATAATAATATTGATGGATTTTTGTTTTTTATTATAATAGTCTTATAAATTGTGTAATATGTTGGACGTTTGTTGACCTTCATTATTCTTGAACCTTTCTAAATCCAACAAAAAATTTTTTTTATTTTATATTAATGGTGAACTAATGTGTTTTTTTTTCAACCTTTAAATTTGTGAAATTAAAACATACTTATTTCTGTTACCCATAACTTTAGAACAACCTTGAAAACGATCAATCATCTTCAAGCGTAATACTGACACTAAAAAGAATGATTTCTGGTCTCTTCATCCGTTAGCTACTAACCGATTGCATATGCATATCAGCAGTCCTCATCGATGTTTCTAAAACTGTACTCATTCTTAGCTCGACCTTACTAATGACCACAATAGCCTGTCATGATGAGTAAAACAAAAAGTTGAAGTGAGATCAATAAGACAAGGCATTCTCCTCGAGCGATTGCTGAGGGAGTTTGCTTGCCGATGCTACGCGGTGCGACTGTTGTTACGTTGGTTTGCCTCATTATGTAAGAGTTGTGTATTTGCGTATTAGACTTTGGAAATAACTTCAGTATCAACTGTGGTACCTTGCAGCACATCTAATCCTTCTTTATTTGTCGTCTAAAATTTATTGCTTTTACTGGTTTCTTTCTTTTTTGGCTACACATTCAGTTTACTAAACTTATTGAGGAAGTTAATTTTGGCTTTTTTATAACTGTTGCACTTTTTTTTCCTTTTATCTAACTGCACTCTAAGATCATTTGGACTTTACGACTGTTCCGTTACACATTTCAAGCAGTAGATTGCTGCTGCTGATGTTTTTCAATAATTATATGCCAATTGAATTTTAGCTGCTGTACTGATCTGCTGTTTTATAGAATAACGAATTATTGTTTGATGGGAAGAGTGATTAAAAAATTGCTCCAGATGGTTTTCTGTCGACAATCGATGGTTTGTAGTGTTTCCAGTTGGCATTTGAACGTCTAAAGTGCAATAAGCATGCAAAAACAAAAACAAAAATAAAGATAAAAATAAAAATAAATAAATAAATTTGAAAGAATTTTTTAAGAGGCATATAACTTTCAAACAATTTGTATTTGCAGTTTACCTATAGTTACACAATTTTTTTTTTTGCATTTAACCACCCGTAAACTTAATGGGGAAAAAGACAAATTTACTTTCTTTTTTTATTGTCGTTTTCGTTTTTTATCAGTCTGCTCCTCTTGACTTTTCTACTTTGTTTTTAATTCAATAAGCAAAATCTTAAGGAAAACCGACATAAGCACGCATTGTTACTTATTTGTTATCAATATAGAAAAGTGAAATAAATTTTCCTTCCGATATTGGTTAATGCTTGAGCTTCAGTTACCTCTTTCTTTCAAGTTTAAATCAACTTCAGCTTCGTTATTCTTAACAAAAAATTAAACTGTTAGACACCATTTTGCTTGTAACTTTTGATTCTTTAAATGACATGTCGGAAGTTGAGATTATTCAAAGAATACAAGGAAATCTAAAGTTATTTTGTTGACAGAATTGCAAATAAGAAATTGGCAACTTATTTGTTGTTTTCTGCATCTCTCTTACTTTTTACTACCTACATATACGTTTTTTAGTTCATGAACGGAGTGGACAGCTCATGAATCACAGTTATTTTTTGAACAGATTACTTCCTTAAACTAGGCCTTTCATTGATGCCAGATTTGATCTCTTTGAGTAGATTTAAAATATCTGATTCGAATAATAACTCCTTAGAAAGTTAAATATTAACTGGCTTTTTTCTTTTCGATGCTATTTGTTGCTCTTTAGTTTATGGCAAGCATTAAATACTTGAAACATTTTCTTGGAGAATCAGAACTGAATGCTAAAATGAAAGTCTAAATATTGTTCAGTAACATGAACTCTTTCAAGCCTTGTCTCTTTTAAAGTCTACTTTTGCGAATAGTCTATTGCGTATTAAGAGCTGAATTTTACTAATGAAGCAGTCGAAGGGTATCAGTATCTTACTACTGTATTGAAATAATGATGATGTAAACGAATCGACTGACGTTTCTTACATTATATTCATAAAAACTCCTTTATTTTTGAATGCTATTTAACTGTAAATAATTTAAGCTCGTGAAGACTTAAATTTCTAAAAGAGTAACTAAATTTTTTTCTAACCTTCATTTTTTTGCGCTATATCAGATTTTACCAGCAGATGTTTTTTATGGTTTTTTATTAGGCAAAAACAGTTAATGATTGCTGAAATTATCATATTTTTTTACGGGCTTTGAGCAATAGTATGAACAGGAACTGAACAAGCCACTCATGTTTGTTACTAAGTTTTTTTCTGGTTACTAATTCAAAGAACTGAATAATATTTTTTGTTTAAAACGCTTAGAGTTGGGCACATAAATAAATCTCGATCTCAGAACTGCAAAAATGTTTTGGTCACTGAATTGCAGCATCTAAGACTATGTAGTTTGGTGGTTACTGCTTCCCCAAAACCAGTTGTTAAGAAGCATTCCCTTGTTATAATGCCAAAAAATCAAAAAATGTGAACCTCCAATATGAATGACGTTAATTGCCAAATGTAACTTGAAGATTGTGCAGTATTAAATTACAATTTTTACTTCAAGTTTTTTTTTTGATGTGGTGGGTAAAACGGCTTTATTTTTCATGCCTTTTTTTGGATAACTTAAATGTTTTTTCTTTGATGAGGTGGAAAAGAGTAGAAGACTAGCAAGGACTAAATAATGCAAGGACAAAGCTAATATGATTTCATTATGTTTAATTTTTGCTTGAAAATTGTTGTACTGATAAAACAATTAATTATACATTTTTCAAGAGAAATTTATGTAAAATATGGTAGTACATAGTACGTTACAGCAAAAATGTACATTTTTGCCATATAGAGGTACTGGAAATGGAATATGTTGTTATAATAAAATTGAATTAGCAAGTTACTACAGTTATTGATACTCTCAAACTTATTTGTGTAAGATTTTGTTAAAATATTTGTTTTTTTGAGCAATCTGTTCCGTGCCTTTTTAAATACAACTATGGTTAACAAAAGCTTTAGAAAAAGTAGAATTTTTTGCTGGCAGATCTAACTGAAACTGATTTTAAAATATCTGTAGTGCCTAACTAGAGATGCTCTCAAGTGAAGTGTACCAGTACAGGGTATGCTGTTTTGTTTTAGTTGAAAAGATTCGCATTTTAAAAAAACTGCATTTGCTTCAGAATCATTTTTTTAACGTTTTGGTTTTTGCACATGAAAGAATCAGAAAAAGTAGAATTTTTGAAAATCAGAAAAAAGCGCTCTAATGCTAACTGTTGAAAGATCATTTCTATGGTACAGCCGAAGGGATAATTCTGTGATCAAAATTGGTGAGTGTCAAGGAAGAAATGTAAACATCAGAATGTTTTTTCTTTCTTTTACTAATTTTTTTCTTTTTTCCAAATATTGTTTAATGCAAAAATTGCTGTTTGAGAAGAAATATTGCATATATCAAATCAAATAGTCAGAATGGTTTTGAAGTGTATCGTGAACGACAATCTCTTGTCAAACCAGTGGATTAATTACACTGCGTCAAACATTAACAGATTCTAACTGTAACGATCATAGATAAAACAAACATATTCAGAAGACTAATAAAAGTTTTTCGATTCTGACCTGACTGCAGATAAATCTACTCAATAGATGTATTTTATTGCTGGTAGTTAGTTAAGGGTTTGTTGAACCAAATTAATTTGCCCATCGTTTCTTTTGATTTTTATGAAGTTCTTATGAAATCTGACGGATCTGCTGTGAACTCCAGATGTCGTAAGAACAGTGCAACAATTTAGTGGCCGTGAGTCAGTAGTTTAATGCAGATATTGCACCGTCAAAATCTCTTCGAGTAAAGTAAACTAAAACTGCTAAAAATATATTGATATCTGCATAATGAGTAAATCGCTCTCATAAAGTGCTGGTTAACAATTAGTTGTGTTTTATGATCATTGTATCTGTTAGCTAATTCCTATCCTGTAATTTATCGACTATAATAACCGACATCAGATAGACAGTATCGTATTTTGTTGTTGTTGGTATTGGGTACATTTGAGGTGCATAAATTTGTCGTTAATTGGAAACTGTCGCGATGGGGCAAAACAACTGACGTTCAAAAAATTAAAGTCATTGTTGCCGTGAAAGTCAGGTTACTTGAAAGTTAATATCTAATGACATTTCAGGCTTCATGTTCGTTGTGAAAGTGAGTATTATAGAAGTTTACTTTCAGCGCTAAAGCATCCATTCAATTTTGAAATCAGATTTGCTTCGGTCTGAATTGTCTATAGCGCCGACACGAAGTTGATTTTTATTTTTACTGCCCATTTGTTCCAAATGCGGCATTAAGAAACGCTTAATAAATGAAGAAATAAAGTGTGGTAGCCGAATGCCATTCTGTTAAGATTGTGTTTGTCCGAAACGTTAGTGGCGGTAATTGAGCTTTTACGGCGCGGCGATTCCTTCGTAGACGCTTTCGCAGTTGTTTTTTTTCACTACTGTATAGCTCTATTTCATTCTACTAAGTGAATGAAAGCCAGTTTGGTTCTTAACGCTTATAGGCTTTGTATTTAAATTTGGATTCTTACTATTACTTTACTGAAAGGACGCAATTTTTTACTTTTATTTTTTTACTTATGACCAGTTAGGTTTCCTTCTTGCAGAAACACTTAGCAGGTTTAGACGGAGAACAAATCTAAAACCGCCTGTCTATTTGTTAGCTAGAACTGCAGGAAGTTCTGCCTTGTCTTACTTGGAGTAGTTGTTCAGTTACTGTTTGTCCTCAATGCTTTTCAAGGTACATTTTTTGTTGTTCTCATGTATCATTGGCTGGAAATAGTTTGAAATTCGAGGGCTAGCATTTTGAAGATTTACGGTTGAACATAGTTTTGTTCAGTTTCCTCTTCTAGATTGGTATCATTGGTGGAACGGGTTTGGAAGACCCGAACATTTTTGAGAATTCACGTGAGGTTGTTGTTGAAACACCTTTCGGCAAGCCATCTGACGCTCTTTTAGAGGGCGAAGTTGACGGAGTTCCATGTGTTCTTTTGTCTCGTCATGGCAGAAAACACGGCGTACCCCCAACAAGTGTTAATTTTAGGGCAAATTTGTGGGCGTTGATGCAACAAGGTAAGTTTATTTTGTAGATGCATACGCAAAATTACTGTTTAATGTGTGTAAACTGTTTAGGAGTCAGTGTTATACTTGCCACTGCAACGTCGGGAAGTTTGAAAGAAGAAATTACACCTGGATCTCTTGTTTTCTTGGATTCGTTTATAGATAGGTACATAATATACCCTAAGTTGTCGTCATTATATCTAAGTAGAATTTTTGCTTACCACTTCCTGCAGTATATTTTTAGAACATTCAAAAGAGAAATTACTTTCCACGATGGGCGTGAAGGAAATCCAGCTAAAGGTGTTTGCCACATTCCATCTCACCCAGCTTACAACGAAAAGCTGAGACAGGCATCTTCTGAATTTGTTTTTTTAATTAATAATCTTTTTATCCTCTTGGTTCCTTTTTGTTCAAAGAATTACTCTACCGTACCTCAAACTTTTCTCCGCATTTGTTTGAAACTTTTGTCTCAGCATTGCTTGGAGGATACCAAGTTTCTATATTCAAAATTTGCATTAATTTACAGAATCGAATCAATCTTGTAGATTTTGATCTCCTGCGCGGAACAGCTGAAGTACAAATATTTTAAAAGCGGGACAGTTGTTTGTATTGAGGGACCGAGATATTCTTCGAAGGCCGAAAGCAATGTTTTCCGAAGTTGGAATGCAGATGTGATAAATATGACAGTTTGTCCCGAGGTGAGGTCATAAACCCAACCTATCCTCTATACATATTAATTTGTTTCTATCACGCTGTTATTAATCAACATCCTGTGAGATTAAACATCATCTGCTAAGATAAAGTTGTTCAAACTCACTTTCTTTTCTCTTATATTTTTTTGCAAACTTTTGTCTGCTTCGGCAGTACATTTTTATGGTTTAGCTCTTTCCCTATTTGATTGTTTTCAGATCAGGATTCAGTAGGAGGGACATATTCCTCAATCTGTGTGGCTTGCTTTCTTTAGAAGATTTTTAATTGAAAATTTTTATTTTCTTCTCACTTGCTGGTTATTGTAGTTGGAATGACTAAATTATATTTCAGGTATATTTAGCAAAGGAACTTGGAATTCCTTTCGCAACTACAGCAATCATAACGGATTATGACTGTTGGCGTGAGGGGGATGAGGTTTTTTATTGAATTGTTCTCTGACTATAAACTGGTGAACTCTGTGTTCAAATTTCAACTCCTTTTGAATTATTTGCAATTACTTGCCAGATCTTAGTTGAACTTTGTGCAATATTTTACTTGCGCAGTAAATCGTTACTTCTTAGGTTTCTGTTGAATTGGTTGCCGAAAGGATGGTTGAAAATGCTTATAAAGCAAAAAATCTTTTCTTACTGGCTATCAAAAAGATAAAAGAACAGGACTGGACAGAAGAAATTAAACAAGCAAAAGTTTGTTTATTCTTTTATTGTTTTGTAAACTATAGTATATGGCTTAAAAATGATAAATTTAATCTTCTTTTCAGTGACAGGAACACTGTTATATGTCATAGTTCTGCCTACCTGGCTAAATTTTTTTTGCAATATTATGCATTTCATTATTATTCTCTTATGACTTACATTTTGCGTTAATTTAGATTGTTGCTCGAAATGCAGTGATGCTGGACAAAGACGTATTAATTGAGCACCTCACAGTTCCCCAATGAATAAATAATACGATTGTTTTGTATTGAATCAGTCTTTTGTCGTCAGTTTTTCTGTCGTTTGTTCAGTAAATAATAAAGTCTGTTTGGTATTATTATAGTTCTCTTTGTAAAATGTTATTAAAATGCTTATTGAAACCTTATTTCAAAACTTTGCACAACACTCTCGCAAGATTTTTTTTTAGTCTGTGGTTTTAAATTTGTTGCTTTGCGGCGAGTAAATATTATGTGAAATATCTATGATTTTATCATATTTCCTCTAAGAACTAAAAGTGCAAGTCGAAATGAAGTGTTGGTAATATGAAGAGAATTATATAACGGTGAAGTGATGCATACTGAAATTGGAGAGCAGTTTGGTAGGAAGTGGCAGAGTTGTGATTAACCGTTAGTTTATTTTGTGATTTAGAATTTAATACATAAGTACAGGCTTTTTTACAGAAGAATGTATTCTATTTAAAAGGTCATAGCACTGGGTAGCCAAGAAATTTTTTTTTGATGAGTTTACTATTTAGCAAGTTGCAGTAGTAATAGGATTATAGGTGACAGCGAGTTGATGATTTCAAGCTTTTTTTTTTTTAAACCCCAATTTAAGAGAAGTTGTTATAAAGCACTTGTTTATTGGTGTGTTCGTTTACTTATCTACTTTTTTTTTAAAGATGTCTTTTTGGGTTTGACTAGTCAACAGTAGGCACAATGGTTTTAAGCATAAGCGCGAGCACCGCAACATTATTTTCTTTTCACAATTGCTGTTTTTCTGCTTCTTTTGCGTTAGTCTATGCTGTGGTCCGAAACCTGCTAGTTTTGCTGTAAAGGAGGCTGGAGTCACGTTTAATAAAATTTATAATAACTGGATTTGAAGGGAAGCTTTCGTGCCAACCAGCATTTTACATAATAAGGATTAATGATTCATAAATTATTGATTCTAAGTGGGGGGAATAGTTGTGTAAGAATGTCTTGCATAATAGGGAAATACGTTTCTCCCTTCCCAGCTATATTTTGCTGAAGTTGGTAAAGCTGTTTTTGAAACGTGTTGTTGTGTTCATTTCAGTTTTTCCGTTCTTGTTTTTTCCGTTTTGCCGTTAGTAATATGTTCTTCAGCTTTGACTATCCAATGCTGAGAGGTTTTTTCGAATAAGTTATAGCTCTCACTGTCTGCACATAGAGAGGTACGGTATCACCTATTTTAGCAAATGAGATACCACTTATTCTGTCTAATTTGATAATCATATTTATTTTCAATCCAATTTATTCGTCTTCTTGAATCAACTGATTGAGGGTGACTGTTAGTGAAAAGGAAGAAGTAGATGCATGGAGCTTCAGATCGGGATATAACTACGATGTGAGGTTGACATCTGTAACGTCAATTTATTCTATAAAAAATTTTTAGACAGTCATTTTTGGTACTCTATTACGGCAGGTTTGCCTTGTTCTACTGTGCTTCAATCAAAAAAGAAAAGAACATGAATGGTTGGAAAAGCCAGCAGGTTTCGCACTAGACGTAGTTTGATTTCTTGTGGTTTTTCATGGAGAGTAGATCAAAAAGTTGCTATTTGGGTTACAAATTAATGTGGTTTAGGTGACGTATTGAATTTATTTTAATAAGTACCAAGTCTTAGAATTTTAGCAGTAGAAAGACAGAATATTTGTTTGCACAGGCTGGTAATTTTATGAGTTGGTAAGTATTAGGTTCCACACGAAAACTGCCATAGCTAAGCAATCAGATAATTTTTGCTGTCAAAAGAGGGTAATGAAGTTTTCAAGTGGTCGATTATTGAGTTATTGGGATTATCACCGCTTAAAAAGTCTGCCAGTGACCTATC